GCAACCCAAAACCCATTTATGCATCGTTGAGTCCTGGGTGGGTGTGGCCCATTGGCTGGGCGTGACCAATTGGCTGGGTGTGGCCAATTGGGTGGGCATGGCTACAGTGGTAACGGCAGACTGGGTGGGACTAAAAAGTTCAATCAATCAATTCCAACTTTGCAAGATCTTTTTTTTCCCCCCGTGAAAAGTTGAAATTGACTGTTTGAACCTTTTTTTTTTTTTCCCACATGGCGGTGGAGGCCTAAAGCAAAAAGATTTTTATAAAACCCAGCTGAAGGCCTAGGACTGGTGCGATGGCACGCCTGCCCACAGAGAGGGCTCTGACTGCCACCTCTGGCACCGTGCCATAGGTTCACCACCACTACCCTATACCATTTCGGACAAATGGCTGGCCAGTCTCTTCTTAAAATCTTCCAGTGTTGGAGCATTCACAGCTTCTGGAGGCAGGTTGTTCCACTGGTTAATTGTTCTAACTGTCAGGAAGTTTCTCCTTAGTTCTAGGTTGCTTCTCTCCTTGATTAGTTTCCACCCGTTGCTTCTTGTCCTGCCTTCAGGTGCTTTGGAAAATAGCTTGACTCCCTCTTCTTTGTGGAAGCCCCTGAGATATTAGGACACTGCTATCATGTTCACCCTCGTCCTTCTCTTCATTAAACTAGACCAGGGGTAGGCAAACTCAGCTCTTTTATGACTCGTGGACTTCAACTCCCAGAATTCCTGAGCCAGCTATGCTCGGAGTTGAAGTCCACGAGTCATAAAAGAGCCGAGGTTGCCTACCCCTGAACTAGACATACCTAATTCCAGCAGCCATTCCTTATATGTTTTAGCCTCCAGTCCCCTAATCATCTTTGTTGCTCTTCTCTGTACTCTTTCTAGAGTCTCAGCATTTTTTTTACATTGCGGTGACCAAAACTGGATGCAGTATTCCAAGTGTGGCCTTACCAAGACATTGTAAAGTAGTATTAACACTTCACGTGATCTTGATTCTATCCCTCTGTTAATGCAGCCTAGCACTGTGTTGGCCTTTTTGGCAGCTACAGCACAATCAGGAAAAGATGTATCTTCAAAAGCCATCTGCTTTTCAATTGTATCAGAATGTGGAGCATGAACTTGGCATCATCCAGGCAGTTTAAATCAAATGCAAATTATAAATCAGTGATGAGAAAATGTATTAAAGAAACATCAAGTTTTTTTTTAATTAAGCCTCTGATGATAGCAGAGGTTATAGCAATATCACAGTAATAAAGATAGTCCGTGGCTTAGAACCATAATGTAGTCTGCAGTTATCATGTAACTAACCAATTTTATAAGATTTTGGCAGTGGCCATTAAGCGAACCACCATGATCATTAAGTGAATCTGTGTTCATTAAGTGAATCCATTGTTCGCTGTGGGTCATTTTTTTTGCCGAAAATTGGAAGTAAATGCTGATTTTCGGCAAAACATCATAAATTGTGGTCATGTGACAATGAAGAGAGAGCCATCAATAGTTTTGGGTACCATCATTATTTTGAATGCCTGCTGAACAACCAGTTGTAAATCAAAGATCACCTGTGCACCTGAATGATGAGGGGCTGAACTTTCTACATTGTTTTGTTTGGATTTTGTCTTCAGTTAAAAGTTTAGAAACAAATTAAAAATAATGTGGGCAAAAAATGTGCCACTGAAAACAGACAATTTGTTAGTGATTATAGCAGAGCAAATCTGGGGCAGCTTCAGAAATGGGATTTTCATGAAATCTATAGGGGGACATACAGATTGATTATCCCCAGTGCAAGTGAACTATTAACAAACAGTTCATTGCATCTTGCATCTTAGATAATGCCCCTCACTTGATCACTTTTTTTATTCCTTTAAAATTCATCCTAAATCAACTGAGTTTTAACAATACCTTAAAGAATAAAAAGTACACAAACTTTAAAAAGAGGTATCCTCATTTAAAAAATTATTCACTTCTACCAGAAAACATCCATAGCATTCTTTTTGATGTGGATTGTTGTGTCACCAATTCAGGAACTTTTTCAGTGAGTCTCAGTTGAGTACTGTGTTTTACTGCAAGCAGATTAGGGGCCAATCAAGACAAACCATCAACACTTGACAATGGAGAATGTTTAAATAGATTCAAATCCACCTACTGTGCTTCTTCTATTTTCCTGAGAGTGTTTCTCACCCATCAGAGACTCTTTACATTCCCTACATTCTTACTCTTTACATTCCCTACATTCTTTCTCTCCTGTGATTGACCTACATTTTTTATTTAACACTAGGAAGAGGGACTGCTTAGACAAACTAGCTCTGCCTATTTATGCCCCCCATGAATTGCAAGGTAACAAACTCTCTGCTCGAGGCCCAGTTAGATAATTATTTTCTACTTTTGTCTTAACTAGGTGCCCAGTGCCTACTGGACACTTAGCAACGCAGCTAATCCTCACTAATACGTAATCTTCCCTTGCTGATGCTTAAACTAAGCAAAACCATTAGGACGAGGGGAGAGATAGAAGAGTCATAAAGTTTCCCGAAAATGAGTTGATTCCATGGATTTCCTACTTGCTCTACTTTGGTCCATGGTGTGTACTCTGGGAAGAATCTCTCAGAAACTATAAACATTGGGATTTCTATAATAAATTTTATTTATTTATTTAGAACATTTATATTGCTGCTTACTTACACATGGCGACTCAAGGCAGCTTATATGACATAAAAGCATAACATACAAGAAATGAAAATAAAAGTAGCAAAATAGAAGTAATAAAATAACAACTGCCCACTTTGGCGACAATACACATTCATACCAGCCATTTAATGGGCTCATTTCCACCGGTTCCCCAGGCCCACTGGCAGAACCACATCTTAAGGACCTTCCGGAAGAGTGTCAGAGTGGGGGCTAGTCTAATTTCTGCATGGATGGTGTTCTAGAGCAAGGGAGCCACCACGGAAAAGGGCCTGTTTCTGGGTCCCACCACATGTACCTCCTTAGGGGACGGGACCCGGCCTCCCAGCTCTAGTGGGTTGGGTAGATGTAACCTGCAAGAGATGGTCCCTTGGATAACATGGTCCCAAGCCATGAAGAGCTTTAAAGCTGATAGCTAGCACCTTGAATTGCATCCGGAAGCAAATTAGCAACCATTGCAGCTCCTGCAGGAGAGATGATACATGTGCACACTGAGATCTGCACAAAACCATGTGGGCCGCTGCATTTTGCACTAACTGGAGCTTCCAGATGCTTTTCAAAGTCAGCCCCATGTAGAGTGCATTGCAACAGTCAAGATGGGAGGTAACTAGGGCATGAGTGACTGTGAGTAGGGATTCTTGGTCCAGGAAAGGGCATAACTGGCGCACAACCTGCAGTTGTGCAAAGGCCCTCCTGGTCACGACTACCACCTGTTCTTCAAGTCACTAGTCCAGGATAACCCCTAGATTATGCACAGGGTCTCTTTGGGGCCAAAGACCCAAAGGTAGCAATTCTCCATGGGCCAAAGAACCCCAAACCCAGAGCCACTCGTTGTTATCAGGGCTCAGTTTCAACCCGTTGCTCCCCATCCAGGTCCTAACAACCTCCAGGCACTGTGAGAGGGAGGTCAGGGCATTGCTTAAGTCACCATAAGCTGAGATATACAGCTGACTAACATCAGCATATTGATGATATCTCAGTCCATGGTAATGATGATCTTATCCAATGGCTTCATATAGATGTTGAATAGGAGCAGAAAGAGTACCAAGCCCTGAGGGACCCCGCAAAGCAGTGGGCGAGGGCTGGATTTCTCATCTCCTATTAACACCGACTGAGAGCGACCACAGAGGAAGTACGTGAACCAGGATAGCATAGATCCTCCCATTTCTAACCCCTGAAGCCGCTCCAGAAGGATACCATGGTTGATGTTTTCAAAAGCTGCCAGGAGGCCAAGTAGAACAAGGATGTGGATGCACTGCCCCCATCCTGCTCTTGTAATTATGCTATGTCTTCTATATACACTCCCTTCAGTATCCAACCCAAAAATATTAAAAGCCAGCAACGCCTTCCCACAGAAATGGATAGCAAAGCCTTCCCACAGTATAGGTCTGAAACTGAAAATGTCTTCTTTGCATATAATAAAACAGGATCCATTACAGTAATAAGTTGAGGACTACCTGTACAGTTGTACATAAAAGTGAATAAATCAAGCATAGGACAAGAAATACCATCTAGTTATGGTAGTTTATAAGAAAGGTGCGGCCTGGGCATTTCCCCTATGCTGCGTTCATGTGTTTGAGAGGGATGAGAGGAGAAGAAGGTGTAGGGAGGAAGTAGGACGGTAAGAAGAGAGGGGGAGGGGAAGAGAGTAGGAGGGGAGGAGAGAAAGAGGAGGGAAGTAGGGAAGGTTTTAGAGAGGGTGGACGCGGCCTGGGGGGAATGGACAGGCGGTACCAATGGTTATTTTATTCCAAAATTGTATTTTGTATGATGTACAAATAAAAAAAAAATAAAAACTTTTAATAAAAAAAAAAGAAATACCATCTAGTGCAGGGTCACCCAATGAATGATGGATGAATGGTGATTTGAAACAGGTTTTCTTATATATATACATATTTGTCCATACCGAACTATCTAGACCCCTGATTACTTACTGCAGGGGTCTTCAAACTTGGCCCTTTCATGACTTGTGGACTTCAACTCCCAGAATTCCTCAGCCAGCATGCCTGGCTGAGGAATTCTGGGAGTTGGAGTCCACAAGTCATGAAAGGACCGAGTTTGAAGACCCCTGACTTAGTGGTCAGAGATGGTAATTTTTCTGCCACTTTTCAACTCGACTTTTTTGTTAGATTACTGATGGGCATATTTGATGGGTGTATTGTTTCAAGAGTTTATTAGCTTAATCTAACTATTCTTTTTTAAAAATAATATTTAATTATTTATTATTTAATTAGTATAATTATGTGATGATTATACATTTGTGCACTGTCACATACATTTCCAAGTGATGTTAGATGATAATCATGCCTTTCCATGTTCTTTTTTTCCAGGTATGAATGCCGCAGTCCGTGCAGTGGTACGCATGGGGATCTATGTTGAAGCAAAAGTGTATTTTGTCTATGAGGTTAGTATTTACTATTATTCTGCAGAATCTCTGATAATCACCAGAGCCTGAAGAGAAAAATCTAGCAATCAAAATGTAGGATGAGAGAGAATAAACTGGGAAATAATCTTATTATCTAGTTGACCTACAGCCCCACAGATATTTAACATCAATATTTTAAAAAAAGGAAAATTGAATAGAACATAGAGAAGAAAAGAAAGCAATTTGTTTAGTTCTTTAGTTATTTGATGTTTGTTTGTTCATTCGTTCATTCATCTAATTTCTAAAGCTGCCCATCTCACAGAGAAGAGCAACAAAGATGATTAGGGGACTGGAGGCTAAAGCATATAAGGAATGGTTGCTGGAATTGGGTATGTCTAGTTTAATGAAGAGAAGGATTGAGGGGGACATAATAGCAGTGTTACAGTATCTCAGGGGCTGCCACAAAGAAGAGGGAGTCAAGCTATTCTCCAAAGCGCTGGGAGGCAGGGCAAGAAGCAATGGATGGAAACTAATCAAAGAGAGAAGCAACCTGGAACTAAGGAGAAATTTCCTCAGTTAGAACAATTAACCAGTGGAACCACCTGCCTCCAGAAGCGGTGAATGCTCCAACACTGTAAGTTTTTAAGAAGAGATTGGACAACCGTTTGCCTGAAATGGTATAGGGTTTCCTGCAGGGGGTTGGACTAGATGACCTCCAATCATTTCCTCTCTTTATTTATTCAAAGATTTGCATAAAATCCAAACAAATCTTGTTGAGCTGATCCATTAAAGTTAATGTGAATCTTAAGCTAACCACAACATTTTTTAGCCATCTGGAAGAAACTTGAAAAAATGCATATGACCTTGAATGGGATTCCAGAGATATCTCATTCAGTAATGCTGCTCAATTTATCTGAGGCATCTATTTATTAATTTTATTTATTTGGCTTTTATCCCACTTTCATTATTTCTATAAATAAGGTGGCAAACATATTTAATATTCCTTCTTTCTCCTGTCAGAGAATGACTGGCCCAAAGTCATCCAACTGACTTTCATGCATAGGATGGCACTAGAACAGGGCTTTCAACCAGTGGTACGGGTACCACCTGTGGTACATTGGCACCTGGCAGGTGGTACGCGACCATCCTAGAAAAGTGGTAGCGGGGGAGAGGAATGAGCTGAAGCGGTGGCAGCACCGCACAAGCCTGAGCAAGAGATGGCTGGAGCTGCAGGTCTGCCAGGGCTCAGCGGAAGCACCAGGATCAGTGCCGCTTTCCAGCTGATCGGCACTTCTTCGGGGCTGTCAGTGGAAGCACCAGAATCAGTGCCAGGCTCCAGCTGGAGCTCGGCACTGATCCTGGTGCTTCTGCTGAGCCCTGAAGAATCACCAATCATCTGGAAAGCGGCACTGATCCTGGCGCTTTGCTGAGCCCAGAAGAAGCGCCGATCAGCTAGAATGTTGCAGCATCTCCAGGGTCTTGTGATTTATATTCAGATGCTTGTCAACTGATTCATATTTATGACGGTCAGTGTCCCAGGGTCATATGAATTGGGGGGAATAAAAACCAAACACCCCCCACCTCACCCCCATTCCAATCCTCAACAGAAATGCTCACAACAATGAAAACCTCGGACAGGAGGAAGACAGGGGGCAGGCAGGTGTCTTGCTCAGCTGTGGCTTAGGGGGCACTTTTTTCAGTGCCATTGTAACTTCTAAGAGTCACTAAGCGAACTGTTGTAAATCGAGGACTACCTGTACTTTATCACTTTTTTCATTTTTTTTGGTCATCAAGTTTTTGACACCTTGCTAGGTGACTGGTGGCACTCGGATATTGCCATATTCTAAAAGTGGTACAATGGGTGAAAAGGTTGAAAAGCCCTGCACTAGAACTCCCAGTCTCTTGGTTTTTAGACTACTACCTTAACTAGTACCATGTTTCCCTGAAAGTAAGACCCAGTCTTACTTTCTTTTGGGCTCTGAAGTAAGCATTATGATTTACTTTTGGGGAGGGCTTACTTTTTACCAGTACCAGTAGGACATGAGGGGTGGGGTGGATCATGGGGTAGAGAAGCAATGCGGTGGCGAGAGTGTGGTGGTGGACCAGGTACGGTACAGGGCGGCTGGGGCACGCATGTCCTTTCTGTGCCAGGCCAGTCCCTGCCATGCTGGGTGGTGGTGGGAAGGATGCCAAGGTGGCAGGTAGAGTGCCGGAGGCTCGGGAGGGAGGGTGGTAAAGCAGGTGGCCATCCTGCCGTCAGCATCCATGCCTTTCCTTACCTGACTCCCAGCCCCGTGCTGTTTCTCCTTCACCATCTGCCACTGCCGTGTGCAGGGAAATAAAAGAAGTTGGGGGGGGGTCAATAAATTCCAACTTCACACGATTTTTTTTTCCGAGAGAAGTTGGAATTGATTGATTGATTGACTCAGGGCTGCAGGGGCTGGCCTGGCACGGGAAGGGCATGCGTGCCCCATCTGCCTGCTTCACCACCCTCCCTCCCTGAGCCTCCGATGCTCTGCCTGCCACCTCAGTGCCCTTCCCACTGCTGCCCAACATGGCCGCTCCGGGGCTGCTCTTGGAGCCTCTAGGAGCTGCAGGGATCCATGCGCGCTCTTTTGCACCACTGTTTTTGGTGCCACGTCTGGCAAACAGCATCTGCCTTGCTGTTTTTGGTGGTGTTTTGGAGGTATGGTCTATCCCAGGGGTAGGCAACCTTGGCTCTTTTATGACTCGTGAACTTCAACTCCAGAACTCACATATACATTTTATCACCGATTATTCTTACAAGATGACTTTTCATCAATATAAACACAGGCTTCCATCTAGAGCAGGGGTCCTCAATCTTGGCAATTTTTAGACTTGTGGACTTCAACTCCCAAAATTCCTCAGCCACCGTGGCTGGCTCAAGAATTCTGGGAGTTGAAGTCCACAAATCATAAAGAGCCAAGCTTGCCTATCCCTGGTCTATCCCATTCGCAGCATGGCCGCCGTCCAATTGCTGCACCACCTCTCAGGAAGGCAGTGTCAACTGCCAATGCAGCAGTGGGGAAGACGGAAGGCAATCCCGCCCACCAGATCAGCCTGGTAGTGGTGGGTTGGGAAACCGAGTAGCGTGAAAAGCAGTGCTCAGAGCCTCCAGGAGCTGCAGGGATCTGTGCGCGCCCTTTGCAGTCCTCCTGCAATGCGCAACCTCTCCCTGTAAGCAATCCGGCTCACATAGGGTCAGGTTGGCCATCACGGGAGGCTTGTCCTGCATGTTAGACAGAGCTGGAGGATGGGGATGGGCCATGCCTTCCACGACAGCCAACCTGACCACAGGCGAACTGGATTACTTCAGCTGCGAGAAGCCTGAACTAAAGTTTTCTGAAGCTGATGGGAACTGTGGCCCGCTGCAGCTGAACAATTTAGCCTAGCTGCAAAATTGAACTCACAGCGGCAACACAGGCAGCAGGTAATGCGGGAGGAGGCCTATGATCCAGCCTGCCAAAAAATCTATGGTGGGACGGAATGGGTGGGGTTAAGTAGGGCTTACGTTTGGGGGTAGGGCTTATAAACTAGGTCTTATTTTATGGCTAGGTTGTATTTTCGGGGAAACACGGAACTGGGTCTATTCCATTTTTCTCTATTCAGTTCTGTCAATTCAGTCAGGCCTTGGAAAATGGCAAGGAAATAACAGGGAGAAAGCAGAGCTGCTTAACTCATTCTTTGCTTCATTCTTCACACAAAAAAGAAATTAGAGCCCAACATATTAAAAAAAAAACCTACTGCAAAAGACAAACTAGAAACAAAAATTAAAATAAGCAAGAAAATGGTAAGAGAACTCCTATCCGACCTTGATGAATATAAATCACCAGGACCCGACTGATTACATCCCAGAGTTCTGAAGGAGCTGGCAGATGTTATCTCAGAACCATTGCACCACATCTTTCAAAAATTCTGGAGCACCTGGGAAGTACCTGAGGATTGGAAAAGGGCTGATGTGGTTCCCATCTTCAAGAAAGGGAAAAAAAAAAAAAAACACCCAGCAAACTACAGACCAATCAATCTAACATCAATACCTGGGAAGATCCTGGAAAAGATAATTAAAAAACAGATCTGCAAACAACTAGCAATAAACAAAATTATAACTAGTAATGAGCATGGGTTTGTTAAAAACAGATCATGCCAAACCAATCTTATTTCATTCTTTGATAAAGTGACTAAATTAGTAGACCAGCGAAACTCAGTGGACAGTGGACATAGTATACTTAGATTTCAGTAAGGCATTTGACAAAGTAGACTACAATTTCGTTCTTGATAAGCTAGAAAAAGATGAATAGACAACATCACCACCAGATGGATCTGTAGCTGGCTGACAAATCATACTCAATGAGTAGTCCTCAGTGGTATTACATCCACATGGAGATAAGTAAGCAGTGAAGTACCACAAGGCTCTGTCTTAGGCCCAGTACTCTTCAGTATCTTTATAAATGACTTAGATGAGAGAATAGAAGGGGAACTCATCTAATTTTCAGATGACACCAAACTGGCAGGAATAGCCAACACCCCAAAAGACAAGCTCAGGATCCAAAAAGATCTTGGCAAACTTGAACAATGGGCCCTTTCCACTAAAATGACTTTTAATGTGGAGAAAAGCAAAGTTTTACATTTATGCAGGAAAAACCAAAATTTTAAATAAAGATTAGGCGAGACCTGGCTCAAAAACAGTAACTATGAGAGGGACCTTGGAGTCCTAGTGGATGATCAATTGACTATGAGCCAGCAGTGTGCAGCAGCAGCCAAAAAAGCTAATATAATCCCGGGTTGTAAAAACAGGCACAGAATCAAGATAACATGAAATATTAGTACTGCTTTATAAAAGCCTAGTAAGACTACACCTGGAATACTGCAACCAATTGTGGTCACCATACTACTAAAAAGATGTTGAGACTTCGGAAAAAATTCAGAGAAGAGCAACTAAGATGATCAAAGGCCTGGAGACTAAAACATATGGAGAACGACTGCAGGTTTGGCTAGTCTAATTAAAATAAGAAATAGGA